GAAACAACCTCTAGGATGATTAAAGTCAGGACATGGCTAACTCACAGATTGAACCCCGAAACAAGCTCTAGGCTGATCTAAATCAGTACATGGCTAACTCACAGATCGAATTAGAATTTAGCCTGTTATGTTTTGCAGAGGGAGGAAAACTAGAGAACCCAGAAAAAACCCTCCAGAGAGAGACCTATGGAACTCTACTCACATGTGATGCAGAGTCCAGGAATCAAACCCACACCCCACCATGAATCAAGGGAGAGACCTATGGAACTCTACTCACATGTGATGCAGAGTCCAGAAATCAAACCCAAGACCCCAGAGGTGTGAGGCAAGTGCGATATGCTGCTATACGACCCTTGATTCCCTAAGCCTTACCATTTGGATTTGGTGATTTCACAGATACTATAGACTGCAAGCCCTCCATGTATTCCACACCACCAGTTCCCACATTCATTAGCTGCAGATGCTCTAAATCAAGTTTCATTGGTATTCTTTTACTTTGATCTGGTTCTGATTGTTGTTGTTCTTAGACAAAATAAAAAGATGTGTGAAAAAAAACATATTCRTCAACAAACAGCTGCATTTGTTCTTCATTTGGTCTTCTGATTTTCTCCTTTACTCCAAGACCAACGAAGGACAAGCATTCAAACAGTCAGTATATATAGTTACAAAATCTTTTAACAAGTTTCTTTCTTATTTGCATTGGAGATTTCCYTGGATTGGATTTCAGGATATCAAAACACAATTGGTTGGACCCAATGCTTCACCTGTTTCAAATGTATRATGCTCAAGGGAATGAGATGGAGGCTTTACTGAGAAGACTTATTACACTCGTGAACAAGGAAATACCCATGCCTCCCCACAGAGAAGAATACACACTTTTTTACTTTTTGATGTGTGTTGTGGGTCCGAGGAGGGTGTATGTGTGCCTAATATGGAGTTTTCCCCCTTTTTAGGAGTCTAAAAGAAATACTTGATAAGTACATTACATAACAGAGCAACAATTATAACACAAAAAAAAACCAGCAGACTGGCTGACTATACCTACCCCTTGAGTTGTAACTTTCAATAGCCTTAGGCGAAGCGGAAATATCCCCATAATCATAGTCCACATGGATTTTCAAGTTTTCATCTGGGTTTGGTTGGGAATGGAATTCAGCTGGGATATGCTGATCAATAGGAGAGCTAATGATATAGACATGGCTTTCTTGGTCATCCGAGCTGCTGAGGGAAGAAATGGGTCCAGGGATTTCCTCTGAGTGGTTCGATGCATTTGATACTTGTATATTACATGGYTTAATATCACTTTGGGACAATTCATTGACATCTGTACTAACAGCCCCTTCGACATCACATGTTTTTTCTTCAGGAATGTTGCCATGGAAACCCCTTTTATCTATCAAGCAGGTATTACTAGCTTTTTCTTCAGAAATCAAGTCCTTGGTTTTACTTCTTTGTGAGCCAGCATCTTGTTTTCTTATGTCTTCAGATTCATAGTACATAGAAGATGAAACATCTTGAAGGTTACCATTAACTTGTCTTCCTGGACTTTCTGAAGCAYCACCAGTATAATGGCTGACTGGAATAGAGCTATCATCTGGCCCATTTTCAGGCATCTTATCCATCTCAGGGATATCACTTTTTTCTTCACATGTTTTACTGCTATCAACATATGCAGTTGGGAAGCATTCTTTATCATTGTCATCTCTTTGTTTTTTACTTTGAGGAGATAGATGCTCGTCAATAGATAATCTATGCTTATTATTTCTCTTCTGTTGGTGCTCAACAGTATTATTTTGACCTGAGAGAGAGAGTGAGAGAACCAGACAAGTTACCATCTAACTTAAAATTATCTTTCCTTAATAACATAGAAAGGGCTGTCGGTTTTTACTTAGCCTTGTGGTTATTAGAGACAACCTGTACCGTCTTTTCATTTATCTGCTTTAGTATATATACTATAAATAACTGTGTTTTTATACTATTTAGATTTATTAAATTATCTATATTGTATATATAAAAACACATGTTGTAAATCCTATAAGAGTGGTACAAATAAATTTGTTGTTGTTGTAGAGTCCAGAAAATGGTCTTACATAAATCATGATCCAAACTTTAATTCATAAAAATTATATCACCTTTAATTGAAGGAACAAGCACACTGGGAAGAGCTTTAAAARGGTTATAAGCTTATTTTAATATAAATTTTATTTTTTAACACTTGGAGTTTATTTTATTGCTTTTAAAAAAAATTAAAAGTCTGCCAATTTATGACATTTCACAAAATGCAATAATGCAATTCAAAATACCAAACTTGAACATGAAAATTGGTGAAATACTTAAGTTTATTTGACAAAAGATGTTAGGAACGAAGCTCATTCACATACAGCATTTTCCAAGCCAAAATCCCACAGTATTTCAGCTTAKTTAGCTTAAATTTGCAAGGTTTTAATATGCCGTGCGTAATACATAATTGAGCACCCTACAGTATGATGTAAAAACTCGAGCTTCAAGGGAAAACTCAACCCTGAATTTGGATTCAAATTTCTCTTGTTTTGGGATATAAAACGACAAGAGATCAAAGCTTGAACTCAAAGCAACTCTCATCCCCAAAGAGTTAAAAAACGCATGTACAACTGGAAATGAAAACCAACATACGCATTGACAAAAGTGGAAGTTAAGGCATTGCTTTAGAAGGGCTAAGTTTGTTTTAAAAGGGTGAATAGACGGTTAAAATATTAGGCTAGAAAGTGCCTACCATGTTGGTTGTTGGATGATTGTGCCCCTAGTTCTGTAGAAGGGAGCCCCTTCAAACATGGCTGCCCCTGCGACTCCATCACGGCACCCCGCACCACTTGACAAGAAAACTAAATAGCCGACTACTGAACTCGACAAAACTAGACCCCACCATGGGAGGGCACGGGAATTCCGTCCGAAGACATCGTCGGCAAAACTTCGTTACATTTTCGGAAACAAATTTTTGGAATATCAAATGTTGGTATTTGAAATGTAGTAGTTTTATGCCGTATTTAGTACATATATGTGAATTTATATATTCTAAAGCTTAAGTAGATATTTCAACTGAAAAAAGTTACAAATTTTACACACATTTTCAACCGATATTATTTCGATGAATTGGTATTTAAAATTATATATTTTTTAACTTTGCCATTATTTTTAATTTTACCCTAGCCGTATAGTCTTTCTTACATAAAATAAGTAACATATTTTTATTTACGGCCGCAATTTTGGAACCAGGGTACGCTGTGTAAAACTACGCACTGTGGGGGAGGGGGGACGGGAGATTTTTCTTTCATACGAAGTATCATCGGAAAACCTTCGTCGGCTTTTCGTAAATATCCGTTTCAGTAAATCCTGCAAGGATCGTGTCGACGATCGTGTCGGGTTTGTCTGTACCATTGTCTGGTTCTTCGACTGTTTTAAAAGGAAACAGGAGCAGTTTCTTTAGAGTTTAGCGTCCATGTTTGGATTCAGATTTTTATGATCTGGCAAATTAGGTAAAAACTCAGGTAAGAATTGTTTCCCCCTACTTTTTTGATGACTAATTGAGCGGATTTTTTGTGGATTAAGTATAAAAGTACTGAATCTAGACACACAAAGTCAAAATGGCGCACCTTCGTATTGCTAAGCTGGGGGTATTTATGCCGGTTTATTATTCCTCCTTCCGCAGGTTTATAGTTCTATACACAAGAAAAAAGACTATTTTAAAATCTTCTCAAGATTACTCTTAGTATTATAAAAACAAAGAATTTCAATTTTTAGCCTTTTAACTTTAGAAAACGTCGAAATCCTTCCATTGCAGATGTTTAGTTAAATGTCTTTTGTTTATATAGAATATATCCAGGTCGGCTCGGCGAAATCGCATCCGAACTTCACCTTTAAAGATTCCTTCAGATTGCAATTCGTGAATTATTTGCACTACTAAATACTTAAGAGAGAATTTTCCCTGGATTTTATTAATGAAAAATATGTAGTTTTATATTTGAATGATTGAATCCAGTTCAAAGGTCTTTGTTAAAGTGTCTCAAAAGAAATACCATAATTCAGAATGTTAACTATTTATAATTGCACTTAAATTTGACTTCAATTTAACCCATCCCACCTGTGCAGTCCAGATTTATGCACCTATCTGGCTATTTTTATTATTAATATTTCGTATTTTAAATGTCTTGCATTTGGTAATATTGGCATTTTTTCATAAAATTTTTTCAGAAAAAATATAATTACTCCTGTTTTAGAGAAACAAGGATAAAATGAACCCTATTGCAACCCTTGCAGGGGTGGGTCAATTGAAGAATCGGAGGGGGGGGGGGACTTCAGTGTTAGGCATACCTCTATAAATCTGAGAAAAGGGGGACCTGGAAGACTTCGGCATTAGAAGACACTTTATGACTAATTAAAATGAAAAGGGGGGGGGACCATGGACCCTTGGGCCTACCACTAAATCCGCCCATGGCTTGCAGTTCTTCCCCCCCCCCCCCTCCTTGGGGAATCCTATGACAGGTATCAATTCCCTCATTGGATATTCCCATGTATCATAATGGACATGAGCAGAACATTGGGCAAACCAGAAATATATTCAATTATGGTATAATTGTTACATTATGTGATTGGGGAGACACACAAAGGGTCAACTTACCCCACCCTAAAATTCTATAGATCTTATGCAAAAGGTGGGGCCCTACGTTGGATAAAGAAAATGCTTTCTTAACTTGGAAATACTTTTGTGACCAACACCACAAGTGAGTTACTAAATGTGCACAGTTTCAAAGTATTAAGACAAATATCTTTAGAGTGAGAATTAAAATGTGAAAAAAACTTGAAAACAAGGCTTTTCTGTGCAGAAAAACAGGGCCCCTCTGGATAGCAGGGCCCCTCTGGATACCAGCCTTGTAGCTGAATGGGTGACCCTGGTTATTATATTTACATTTCTGTGCATGAATTCATTGGCATAAACAGAGCATAATGAACAAAAGGCGTTTCAGAAAATGCTTATGATTTAGAAGGTGGTGAGGATTGAACTTACTGGTATAGACAGGGATCTTAATCCAATTGCATTAATTAGATAGCTTCCCAAACTACACATACCACAATTATTTCTTGTTTTACAGATTTCCAGACAGTGAATCGTCTTCTGTTTCAAACATTGCTGTAAAATATATTTATGGAAGACATTTTTATGCAATAAACAAAGAGTTGGTGGAGGAGCAATAACTGAAGACATGTCTGCAGAACCTCTCCAAGACAAAAGGAATGTCATCAATTGTGATGATGTCCTCCTGCTATGTGAGAAACCACCCATAGATGATGATACGAAAAATACTGCTGGTGAAATAGGAAATGAAAATGAAAATGAAAATGAAAATGAAAATAGTGGGGAAGTGGATGAAACAAATGCTGGCGTAAACGAAGATGGAGGAGAAACCAACTGCGATGTAAAGATGAGTGAAATGAGTGTGAAAAATACACAAGAGGAAAGTAGTGACTCAAAACATGGGAATGAGAATGGAAGTGAAAGAGAGAAGCCTGAAGAGGAAGTGGGAGGTGGAAAGAATGAGGAAAGAGATGAAAGTGAAGATGATGAGGATATTCCATTGTCGTCCATCAAGTCCAAGCTAAGCAAGGAAGGATTGCAAAAAGGGACAAGAAAATCAACGAGGACGAAGAAAAATGTGTCGTATGAAGATGGTGATGTTGACGACCTTAATGACAGTGATGATGATGATGATGATGGGGGTGATGATGAAGATGATGGGGGTGATGATGATGATGATGGGGATGATGATGATGATGAAAATGATGATGACGATGATGAGGAAGAAGAAGATGATGATGATGCCTCCAAAAAACCCACATGTGTCATGTGTGACACGAAGTTTGAAAGAAAATCTGAACTTGCCAAGCACATGAATACTGTTCATTCCGACTCTAAGCCATTCAAATGTAATGTATGTAACAAAGGATTCAAAAGGCGAAGCTGTATGATAAGACACAAACACCTTCACACCGAAGAGCGTCCTTACCCGTGTCCTGAGTGCAAAAAAGCCTTCAAGACCTCCTATGCGTTGTCTTCTCATCGTGTCACGCATTCTGAAGACAAACCATACAAGTGTAGTGAATGTGACAAGGGATTTCCACGTTACAGTCAACTCAAAGATCATTTTCTGAAGCACACGGGAGAAACTCCTTACGTCTGTGACAAGTGCGACAAGTCTTTCACTACCTTACGAAGTCTTTCAAGACATCTACTCACCCATAAATACAATACTAAGAGCTACAAATGTGAACAGTGTAACAAAGCATTCAAGGGCTTGGAAGCCTTGACCAAGCACACTGAGAATCATACCAAAGAAAAGCCTTATAAGTGTACCTTTTGCGACAAAGCGTACCTCAGACGTAAGCTCCTTCTTGATCACGTGCAGGCGCATAGAGACGGCGTCCAGAAACACATTTGCATTATTTGTGACGAGATCTTCTATGACTCCAGATCACTTCACCAACACCAGAAAATCCACAAAGTTGACAAGCTTTACCAGTGTGAGGATTGCTTCAAGACGTTCCGCAGAGCTTCGCAACTTAAGGACCATTTGTTGACTCACACGGGCGAGAAACCTTTCAAATGCAGCCAGTGTCAAAAGTCATATTCGACGTCAAGGTCGCTCGTCAGACACGAGCGAAATCACACGACGGAAAAGCCCTACCTTTGTAACGACTGTGGGAAATCTTTTCAGCTGTCCAAGCAGTTGACKTCACACAAGTGTGCGGTACAAGGTGATGAGTGTTGTCGCTGTACGCAATGTAATGCTGTATTCAATGTCTTTCAAGAACTTATCGATCATCTGTGGACTCATACTGATAGAGAAGTTTATTCGTGTGAGGACTGCAGTAGTAGTTTTATTACATGGTCAGATTTTGCTAAACACACCACGATCCATTCTGAGAAAGGAAAGTTCAAGTGCACCAAGTGTGAGAAATTTTTCAAACGCCCACATTCTCTCACCGGACACATGCTGTCGCACTCTGAAGACCTTCCATTTGGATGTACTCATTGTAAAAAAGAATTCAAGTGCTCTGCTTATCTCGTCAAACACATGYGCAACCACAAGGACCTCAAGCCCTACGAGTGCTCCAAATGCGGGAAGCGTTTCTCACAGTCGAGGTTACTAGCAATCCACTCCTTGACCCATAAACAAGAAAAAGGCTCCAAGTGTAACGATTGTGATTACGAGTTCTCAGATCCGTATTCCATTGAGGTCCATTCCTTGTGTCATGAAGACGATAAGCCCTATCCTTGTACAGAGTCCGGCTGCAAGAGAGCTTTCAGGACCTACGCGGACCTTAATTTACACCAGCGCTCGCATACCGGTGAAAAGCCATATAAGTGTTCCAAATGCCAGAAGGAATTTGTGCATTCCACGATATTCAATATGCATCTGAAGGCGCATAAAGAGAACAGTTGCTTTCAGTGTCTTCAGTGCATGAAAGAATTTTCAGCAGTTCTTCCACTTACAGAACACCTTAGAGTTCATGCCGGTGAAAAGCCATTCCGGTGCAATAAATGCGGGAAGTCCTTTGGAAGACTGTGGTCGTATAACAAGCATCGCCAAATGCATAAGAAACAATTGGTATACGAGTGTAGACATTGCAGTAAAGGATTTGTTGTTTCTCATTTATACACTCGTCATCTTCAGAGCCACAGAGGAACCAAATAGGTCTCATGATTACTCACTGTTGCAAGGAAAGTCTACAAGAAAAGGTTAAGTTTGTCCCGTTTGAAATTGCCCTATTTCACTATGACGTCACTGCTTGTTTATGTGGGGGATGGAATCGCCAAATCCACTGTATAGAAAATTCAACAAAATTTGCTCCTAGCGAAACAGTTTAATCTAAAATGGCCTGGTTTTCAGATATAATATGTGTTAATATGTACTAAAAAATATTCTGAGCGTTTGTTGGCTATTCTACTTCTCTTCGTGGATAGATACGGGTTTTAGAACAGTTTTCGGTAAATTTGCGTTGATTTGACCCCGTCCGACGACCATGATCCTTTGCGTTTAAACAATAGATTTTGATGTGACGTCATAGTGAAATAGGGCAATTGGGGTGGAATTATGCTTTTATTGTGTGCAAAGTGTTTGTGCCATGAAGTAACCAGGAGTATCACTACCCTCCCCCCTGAAAAAACAACCAAGCTTAACCAATTACATTGCGAGATATTACTGAATATGTCATTACAGACAATTATCACGTGACCTAGTTTTATGGTTTGTTCCTACGCAACTAAATCTAAGGACACGGTGCATCATTGCGCGCAATTTTGCAGGCATTCGATTACGCCATCCATGTCAAACGACGCAATTTGTTTCACTCGATGTTACTGAAGTAGAAAACGATAATACTTCAGTAACTCTGCCTGCAACTATTACCCGCAATGTTGCCACGTGTGTTCGCACCTTAAGACCACATTTTAAGGATTTTAAGAATGTCTGGGGAAAGAGGTGGGGAAGTTATGAAGAGTATGAAAAAAAGGTGCCAGGTAAAAATCCTTCTGTCCCCGCCTTCCTAGACTTCATAGGGGCAAGAGGAATATCTACGATTGCGACGTCAACCGCGGAAGTGTAAATGATTTCTCTTTGGAGTTCTGTTGGAGATTTCATTCAAAACATTGTCAGTAAAGTCAACTCATCCACAGGGAAGGTAGACTTTGAAGGCGGGAAACCCTGAAGTGAAGTTAATTACATTTCCGGTTGACGTCACGCCGTCCTAGATTTTGTAAATCTTAATTCCCCTCAAATGTCTATAAAAACGTTATAATGAGGACCTTAAAATTTAATGTAACCTATGTATATGTCTTATTAGGATTAGAAATGGGGAAATCATCAAACCCCGCTATCTCTTAAATGAACTTCATTTTTACTTTAGTGGGACTAGGATATGTACGCCAAGAAGTGAGGACCACTACAAGTGGTGTTTGACAAATGGTAACGATTTACCAGTTAAAATGTTTAGATGAAATCTATCCAATGCGTTGTAAGACAAGTTTCATGACGAATATAAACCTTTTATTAAGTTTGGGCGTAATGATTTCCCATTACACACTAGGCGTCACCATTAACTGATAAGCCTGGTTGTTACTAGCGACGGAAGCAAAAGCACAAACGCAAGCCATCGTAAGAAAAACGAAATCTTCAGTTCTTTTGCGCATGCGCTTGCAGTTGGGCTTGCGTTTGCACTTACGTCGTTTTTTTTATAGCGAGAACTTGCACTAACTTGGAGTTACGTCTGCTTGCGTCGCTAGTGAGAACCAGGCCGGCTTTAACGATTGCACACGAGAAGACACATGRATATGGTGGTACGATCTCGTACCCAGAGCCCTTATTTCTTACTGCGCATTCTCGACGAAATGATTGGGCTCTGGAAATCTCCAAACCGGAAGACCCAGATTCTGGGTTTCTCGCACATGCGCATTATGACAGACTAGGTAAATTCAAAATGGCGGACGATGTTCAACGAGCATGTGAATTTGCGCTTGGAAAATTAGGTTTTGAAGATGGTTTTCAGTTAAATTAACTCCGAAAATATCTATTGGATGGACATCAATACAATTTCCATTACAAAACCGGCAAAACTTTGAAAAATCCTGCCCTACAGGCTTTTTTGGTGTACTTAATTCGAGACTCCATCTTGTTTATTTTCCCTAGTACTGTAATTTTTACTTCCGGTATCTTCCTTTGTTCTCGAGAACCAATCACAGCACAGGAAATATTGGAGTTTTCCAGAGCCCAATTATTTCGTCGAGCATGCGCAGTAAGAAAYAAGGGCTCTGGGTACGAGATTGATGGTAGTACAACTTAAACTAAGATTCTTGTTCTCAAGACAACGACACGTGGTATGAAATGGGGAGACATTACGCCCATAAACATAGGCTTATTCAAGGGTATAGATTTATTTAAACTTTTATAAAAGATATATTAATAATATAGAAATAGTCATTACTTATAAAGCATTAAGATATATATAAGTCGTAAAAACAATAGGATGATTATAAAATTAAAGTTGTATGTAGGTAATTATAATAATTTTTGACGAAAAAACTGACGAAGGGTTTTAAGTAAATTTTAACAAAAGGTATACGCGTATTTTAATATTCAAGTATAGAAAGATAAATAGGTAGTAATTATATCRTCGTGCTATGCGTAAAAATCATTGTTTAAGTTGAGAATTGACCTAGTTTACCTAGTGTGTATATAATATTTTCTCATTTCAGACCACATGTCGTAACCGTGGAAAAAACATTGCGAYAAACACCGGCATTTGATAACGGAGAATGAGAGAAGAAACAGTTGAATGTAAAGTTGAAATAAAATTTATGAAATAAGTAACCATCTTATTGCGAAAACCATACGAGGCTTAAATGACTCGAACGTCTGCAATAGAGTGTTTTTCATAAGCCAGTGGTATACAYTAGTTACAAGATTATTTAAGTATTATTACACTATTACGTTCTAATTGGTACACTTTGTTTCATGAGTTTATAAAAACCACTCTAAGACTTACTTTCCTTTTTTGTCCATATCCATTGAAAATTTTAACTGACTTCAAAAAAACCTTTTTTTGCAATATCTTGATAAGTATTTTTGAATTATTGTTCATGAATTTAAATCTCAACAGTTTGACTGAATGCACTCTTCATAGAGA